AACTATCTCTTATTGTTTTTGAAGTGAGAACTGTGTTTTTTGTTGACATTGGGCTTTCTTGCTGTTTCTCTGACCTCCATGTACAACTTAAAAGACATGACTTTTATTATATCTCCCCTGCTCCCTGGTCAAAACAATGGTATCTGAACTCTATTTCTGGCCCCTTTCCATGATGTTCCCTGAGACTTAGGTACAGGAGTTGGGTTGTACAAATTCATGGGGACTAGGACTTCATAATCAGTTATTTTCCACATTTTGACCAGTTAGTTTTATGTAATGCTCTCCATCTGCTTCAAAGAAAAGCTTCTTTGATAACAGGTGAGAGCCATCTGTGGATATAAGGATACATATTCAGAATGCAGTTAGGAATTATGCTTGTTTAGTGAAGTGATGCTAGTGGTCTCTCTCCTAAGATCCCTGACCTCATTAGCCACCAGTAGTTGCCCAAGTGTCCAGTACCAGTCCTGATTTCCCACCTATTAAACAGGCCTTAAGTTCACTTAGACAGCTGATGGTCACCTGCAATCTTTGAGTGCCACTGTTGCACCGCCCCCCCCCTAGGGATATCATGCCGTGCTGGTCATCGATGAGGCTCACAGGCATCACAACAGGGTAGGACTATTGAATGCTTCTCTTCATGGGCAGCTAGATGAATGCTAGTTCTCAGGCTTTCAGGTCAGATACAGCTCGCACCCTCCCAGTCCTGTGTCCAAAGTGGGTGGTAACTTCAGCAGTAGGAGCTTGTCTTCAATCCCTGGGAAGCAAGGCAACAGCAATTAACTCTATGTTTTGGGAGTCTCTTGGACTCCTGCGCCGACGACTCAAAGGAGGGTAATGTTCAGCTAACCTATGGCTCTTTGGGGTCATGGACATTGTTGGTCCAAGTGGTATACCTGAAACTATATATGTATATGCGTGCATATATGTATTATATGATATTATAGCAAATAAAGATAATTTGATTCCTTGTGGCTTTTTCAGACATCCTTAGTGTTTTTCTTCTTACAGCCTCTTTTCCTTTTGTATTGGCCTCCTTCTCAGCTAACTGCCGCCCCCTTCCCGTTTCCCCATCATATTACAGTTCTCCTCTATCCTACTAATTCCACCCCACTCCATGGTGCCTTTTGACATTTCTGGTTTCCCTCATTACTCCAGGTTATATTCTTGTGCTGCCTAGTAGTTTGTTAACCTGACACAAGCTAGAGTCATTTGGGAAGAGGGATTAGTAATTGGGAAAATTCCTCTGTAAGATTTATCCATGCATAATGTTGTAATCCAGGCAAACCTGGCCCTGCCTCTCACCTACCTGCGCATGGCAGGTGTATGTACCCTGGCTCTTTAAAAGAGAAAGTCCACTCACTTCCGTTCTCTCTCTCCCACCATTTCCCTGCCGCAGACAGGAGTTTTCCTGTATCTCTCTTCTCTTCTGTCCCGTCTCTGTCTCTGTCTCTGTCTCTCTGTCTCTGTCTCTGTCCCGTCTCTGTCTCTGCTCTGTCTCTGTCTCTGTCCCGTCTCTGTCTCTGTCTCTGTCTCTCTGTCTCTTTACATCTTTTCTCTTTCCTTCCTCCCCCACTTCCCTTTCTAATAAAACTTCTCACCTAAGCTCTGGCTGCCAGGCGTGTTTGTCCCTCGCCCTCCCTCTGCGGAATCTACCAAGGTCCCCCACATGCTTTATTCCTAACATGTAAGACTGTAGTTCATTTTCATGCTGATTGGTATGGGAGGGCTCAGCCCATATGCATGGTGCCATCCCTCAGTAGGTGGTCATAGGGCTATTAGAGTGATCAAGCCATGAGGAGCAGGCCACTAAGCAGCACTCCTCCATGGTCTCTGCTTCAGCTCCGGCCTATAGTTTCCTGCCCTGCTTGAGTTCCTGCTTTAATTTACTTCTGTGATGGACTCTGAAATGAAATAAACCCTTTCCCCGCCAAGTTGCTGATGGTCATCCTAACTATAGAAATACATCTAAATTGGAGCTAGGATCCAACGATGAAAAAGAACATGCAGTATTTATCCACATGGGTCTGAATTATCTCACTCATTTTAATATTTTCTAGTTCTGTCCACTTATCTGCAAATGTCACAGTGGCATTTTTATTTGTAGCTGAATAGTATTCCATTGTGTATATATTCCATTTTTTATTATACATTCATTGGTTTCAGGACATTGGGTTGTTTTCATTCCTTTGCTATTTTCAGTGTAGTGGGAATGAACATGGCTAAGCAAATATCTGTAGAGGAGGATGTTGAGTCCTCGGGGCATATTTCAAGATTTGGCATAACTGGGTCATATGGGAGGTTTATTTTTAGCATTCTGAGATTTTTCTACACTGATTTCCAGAATGGCTGCATCAGTTTGCACTCAGCAGTGGCCGAGGGTTCCTGTTTCCCTACACCCTCTTCAGCATTTGTTGTGGGTAGTTTTGTTGATGTTAACCATATTGACTAGGGTAAAGTGAAATCTGTAAGTTGTTTTACTTTACATCTCCCTAATTGCTAAGAGCAGTGAACATATTAGAGATATTTCTTAGGCATTTGTATTTATTCTTTGGAGTACTCTGTTCAGATCCATAGCCAATTTTTCACCTTTGTTTTTTTTTTTTTTTTTTTTTTTTTAACTCTTTGTATTTAGAGTTCTTTGTACATTCTGGATATTTACACTCTGTCAGATACATAGCTGGTAAGGATTCTTGCCCATTCTGTGAGCTTCTGTGAGCTTCTTTTTCACTTGTTTCCTTAACTGCCAGTAAGGTTTTTAGTTATATGAGGTTCCTCTCATCAGTTATTGGCCTTGATTTCTGGGCAAATGGAGTCCTATTCAGAAAGTCCTTTCCTACACCTGTATCTTGGAAGGTAATGCCTATGGTGTTGTTTGTTTGCTTTTTTTCCCCAAGGAGTTTAAGCATTTCAGTGAAGTCTTTGATCCATGTGTAGTTTGGCTTTTGCATGGTGATAGATAGGTCTAATTTCATTCTTCTATACATGGACATCCAGGTTTCCCAGGACTGGTTTTGGAAGATGCTATATTTTCCCCAGTGTACGTTTGTAGCCTGTTTGTCAAATACTAGGTGGCTGTAGTTATGTGTGCACATGTACTATTTTGTTCTATTGGTCTACATGTCTGTTTTTCTGCAATACCCTGCTATTTTTATTACCATGACTCTGTAATATAACTTGGTATCTCGAATGATAATCCTTGTTCTTATTGCTCAGGATTTTTATTGTTTTGAATAAATGTTACATTTTCCTTGCATTCTCACCAGCATTTGCTATCATTTGTTTATTGATTTTTGGCCATTCTGACTGGTTTAACATGTAATATCAATGTGATTTTGATTTGTATTTCCCTAGTGGTTAAGGATGTTGAACTTTAAGTGTTTCTAAGTCATTTGTGTTTCATCTTTTGAGAACTCTCTGCTTAGTTAGATATCTCACTTTTTAATTCAGTTATTTGTTTTATGTTCAGTTTTTCTTTATATATTTTAGATACTAACCTATTAGATGAATAATTAATAAAGATATTTTCCTGTCCTGTAGGCTGCTCAATAGTCCATTTCTAAGGACTATTCTGGACCAGTGTCCATGCCCTGCTCCATTTATGGCTTTGGCTCTGCTCTTGTCTCTGTGGTTCAGACTTTTTCTGGGTGGTACATCTATTTGGAACTAACTCTGCATGTGGGATCCTCACCTTTTTGAATGACTTCCTGCACTTCTGTGTTCAGTGTGTGTTTCCTTTGTATTCATTGTGGTCTTAGCTTCTTTTGGCTTGGTTAGGTAGTATGTGCTATGTGAAACTAAGTTGTAGAGAAAATGGGTGTTTACCTGCAGGTATAGGCAGCTGTAGTTGGTTACAACTTACTAACCTTATTTAGTTAGTTGTAGTATAGTCTCAAATCTCAAAGGCATCTTTGTTGATGGGGTAAAAATCAATAGGCTTTCTTTTCATGGGGGTGTTTCAAGGGTGTATGGGTTGGGAAGACTCAGGCTGAAGGCAATTTCTGGCCTGATAAGCTTGGTCTGATGGGATGTGGGGGCAGTGGAAATTCATAGATGAGAGGGTACACTATCGCTTGTCTCACTGGGATGTCCCAAGTGCATGTGTGAGCTAGTGGGCATACAGTCTCTGACCACACTGAAGTTGTCCAATGGCATATGGGTTGAAAGAACCTTGAGAATATGTGGGTGTGTAGTCCCTGACAAAAAGGGGATAGTCTGGGGGTGGGTGGGACAGTAGGAGCCTTTTATTTGGTTTGTTTGTTTGTTTTTAATTTCAGGTAGGGCCTAGCAGAGGCCAGGTTAGCCTTGAATGTAACTATGTAGCTAAAACTGGCATTGAACTCTTTGTCTTTTTGTCTCCACCTCCTAAATGCCAGGATTTTAGGCAAGTGCTTCCATGTCTGGCTTTGTTTGCTATTCTACTTTTTGAACCATTGCAAGAAGGCATGTGACTGGCAGAGTGAGAGTTTGAGATGGCTTGTCACATTGAAGTCTAAGACACAAACAGAGAAGAATGCTGGTGTTCAGCTGCTTTTTTTCTTTTTCGTTTGAACTTAGTCACGGAACCTAGTTCATGGGTTGGTGCCATTCATACTTAGGGTAGATTTCCTTTCAGTTAAGCTTATTTAGAATTGTCCTCACAGACACACTTGTTGGCATCTTTCCTAGGTGATTCTAAATCCAGTTGACAATCTGAATTAACTATCACCCAATTTTTCTTATGTTCTTTATATGACCAGAAATGTTTGTGTAGTCAAATCATCTTTTATTTCTTTGCTTTTCTTTTGTTCTCTGTCCTTGATTCCTGTACATTATTCTTTATGATACTATTTATGAATAGTAATCCACACAAGGCATCCGTTCATTAAAACATTAAATCCGCAGAGCCACCTGTGATGTGCCAAATAAGGCCATTTTCTCTATTGTGTCCAGCGCAACTTTCTGTTGCTTTCATGAAGTTCTCTTCTTGTGCAATTTAATTCTTTCTTTCATTTTACTTTTAGATTGTTCCTAACTTCATAAAGCGTATCCAGACCAAAATCAAAGATCTTCTACAGCAAATGGAAGAAGGACTGAAGACAGCTGACCCTCACGATTGCTCTGCATATACTGGTTGGACAGGTGGAGTAGTAACCATTATGTTCCATTCCTGAACTGTGGGATAATAAGCCGAGACTTGAAGTTTTCTCCTACTTTAAAATGGTGACATTGATACCCCTTGAAGCATTAGACAGTTTTATTATGAGCCATTTTGTAGTTTTGTTTCTAAAGATACACTCTCTGAAGGTTTGATCTTTATTATGTATTATATTTTTAAAACATTTAACCTCATATATAGCTATGCAAGTGTGTGGCAAGAAAAGGCATACTTAATGATGTATTTGGTTGGTTTAGTTTTGTTGTTCTATTTTGTTTTTTGTCAAATTGTGATTAAATGGTGTCTCTGGTCTGTTTCATAAATTATTACCTTGTTGGTTATATTTAATTTGATTCAAATAATTTAAATTAAATTGTTTATGTACATAAATATTTTAATGATAGATTTATTGATTTATCACATTTATCATTTAAACAAAAAGTCATATAATTCAGGATGAACAAAGTGTGATCTCAAAATTAACTTGCCTTAACTAATTTTACATTTTTGATGTTTTAACACTGGGATCTTTTCTTCCTGATTCTCAAGATCTATGATGAAGGAACTCAGATGAGATACACAGAGTAGAATTTAGGAAAAGCAAGCATTTATTACAGATTAAAGTTGAGCACATTGTCAAGGGAATGAAACTGGGTAGTGGCCATGGTATAACCTCATTATTACAGGGTCTGAGTGAACAATGGACAAAGTGGTCATTGTGCAACCTATGTTTTAGGACAAATTTATACTATTTCCAGAACAGAAAGCTTTTTCTGAGGGCCTTTTCCTGTTCAGGGCATTGGCAATATGGAGAAAGGGACATGGAACTATTTTTGTCCTTTATGAGGGTGCCTGATAGATAGTAATCCTACTAGGTTTAGGGCTCCTGGAATGAGGTTTAGATAACTATCTGTTACTGGCATGACTCAAGTCTCATTCTTTTGACTAATAATTAGTTTTAGACCTTGATTGTGCAAGTTCTAAATTAAGTTGTGGTCATCTCCAGTGTGCCCCAGGCCTACAATATCTAACTGGCTATTTAACATTACTGGGTAGTCAGAACATTTTTGTAGCTGTATGAGTTTTATAAAATAAGATAGACCTTGTTCTCTGAGTTATAGTAAAGTCTGATTAATATGCTAACAATTCACATTTAGAGACTTCCCTTGTTAGCTTTAAAATAATATTTTTATTCTTTGAGAATTTTATACATCCCGGCAATGTATTTTCATCATCTATACCCCCTACTGCTCTTTCTACCTCTCCAGTATCTAAAACCTATCTTCCTCCAACTTCATGTATTCTTTTATATTATTAATACTAATGATAATAATTCCCTGAGTCAAATTCATGTTGAGTATGTGTGCATAGATTTGGAGTCACCCACGAGGGCAAGGGCATTCTACCAGCAGCTGCTGCATCTGCAAAGTGACCCAGGGCCATCCTCCCCATCTGTGCTGGAGTTCTGGCTGGCTTAGTCACGTACAAGTCTTGTACAGGCAACCAAAGCCGCTGCAAGTTACCATGTGAAATAGCCATGCCATCTCCAGAAGACAGCATTTCACAACTCTCCTCCGCATTCTCTAGCTCTCTAGCTCTTACACTCTGTCAGTCTCATCTTCTATGATATTTCCTCAGATGTGGAAGGGAGGAGTTTGCTCTCTCAAGCTGAACACTGTAATTACTTATTTTTGGCACTTTGATCAGTTAGGAGTTTCTGCATTAAGCACTGCAAATAAATAAATAAAAAGCTTCGCAATCCTGGTTAACATCAGCACAAATCTGTTTGTACAAACATAAATGTTTATAAGGCAGTTTGAAAATATGACCATTTAATGAAACAAAAATAGTAGATTCTTTCTAGGGCCTATAACTTTCCCATTCATGATCTTTTGACCTAGTTTTCAGTGGGACTTATACTTTCTTCTAGCAGTTTCAATATTTCAGGTTTCACAGTAAGGTCTTCGATCCACTTAAAGTTAGTTTTTGTGCAAGGTGATAGTTACAGGTCTAATATCATTCTTTTGCATGTGGATATCCAGTTTTTCTAACATCTCTTCTCTTTGGCTTATGTTTTTGGCATCTTTGTCAACAATAAATAGCTGAAGCTGCATGTACTCATGTTTGGGTCTTTCCTTTTGTTTCATTAGTTTACATGTCTGCTTTTGGACTGGTATCATAATGTTTTATAATCCCTCTAGAATTCTTTTTGATTGGGATTGTTTTGGTTATCTTCAGTTCAATTTTAGGGCAGTTTTTTCTACTTCTGTGCTGAATGAGACAGGGATTATATTGAATTTAAAATAGCTTTTTGGAAAATGGTCATTTTCACAGTATTAATTCTACAAATCCATGAACATGTCTTTCTTCAGCAGTTTGAAGTTGTTTTTTAACTTTACCAGGGATGCAGGGATGGTTCAACATATGAAAATGCATCAATGTAATCCACCAAATAAACAAACTGAAAAAGAAAAACCATATGATCATTTCACTAGATGCTGCAAAAGCCTTTGACAAAATCTAATACCCCTTCATGATAAAGGTCTTGGAGAGATCATGGATAAAGGAACATACCTAAACATGATAAAAGCAATATACACCAAACCAACAGCCAACATTAAACTAAATGGAATGAAACTTAAGGCGATTCCTCTAAAATCAGGAACAAGACAAGGCTGTCCACTCTCTCCATATCTCTTCAATACTGTACTTGAAGTTCTAGCTAGAGCAATAAGACAACAAAAGGAGATCAAGGGAATACAAATTGGAAAAGAAGTCAAACTTTCACTATTTGCAGATGATATGATAGTTTACATGAGTGACCTGGAAAACTCTACCAGGGAACTTCTACAGCTGATAAACACCTTCAGCAAAGTGGCAGGGTACAAGATTAACTCAAAAAAAATCAGTAGCCCTACTATATACAGATGATAAACGGGCTGAGAAAGAAATCAGAGAAATATCACCCTTTAAAATAGCCACAAACAACATAAAATATCTTGGGGTAATGCTAACCAAACAAGTAAAAGACCTGTGTAACAATAACTAATACATATTAATTGAACATACTAATGGGGTTCCGTGGGACCCACTGCAGGTACTGATCAAATCTCCCATAGTCCCATAGCTCAGCAGTCAGAGTATGCTCTCAAAGGAAGTCATCCTCCAGAAGGTTTCTTCCAAGAGCTCTCAGTACAACTGTCTCTTATCCTTTGTGAGGGGAGACTTTGACAGAGAATCCCAGTGTAGCCTGTCCTGGCCTCAGAGTCACTGTCATGTAGCTGAGAACATCTTGAATTGCTGACACTGCTGGGTCCATCTGCCAGATGCTGGGATTGCAGGCATGAGCCACCACACCTGGCCCCATATTTCTGTTTCTGTGTTTTAAAAGAGGGTGGTGACAGGCTGCTCCCAACATCCCAGTTCTGCCAGGTCATATGGTGTTCCCTAAGTGGGGATCCGACTCACTGGTTAGATATCCAGTTGCTTGATGAGGAAAGAAAAAAATGAAACACTGTAGAAAATATAAAAATGAGAAAGGAGGAGGAAAATCCAGAAAGATAAGCACTTACTCTGGAATCACATAGAAGGAAATTACTTGAGGAGAAGCAGAAAAGAAGTTACATTAGCTTGAGATTCAGGGCATAAGCTGGAAGGGTGTGAGCCAGAACTGGGAGTGACTGGAACACCAGTGTGTCTTTTCTAAGAGTAAATTGCTGACTCACCACCTTGGGCAAGTTAACAGAATGATAAATTTCAACCGGTGTCATGGCTTTTTCCACCCTAATTTTTGTGTCTTTTGTTTTCATCAGTTTTCACTTTTATGAAATAAATTATACTTCCGGTTGTTATTGTTCATGATATCCATTTCAAAGTACAGTCTTTGTAGAAGATGTTTCACATAATTAGCAAATTACTCCCTGAAGGTAAAAAGGAAGATAGTAATGCTTTGTTTTGTGGGTGGGACTCATTCCAGGCATAGCACTTTTGTACCTGCAGCTGTACCGGGTCACTGGTGACCAGACCTACCTGCTCCGATCCCTGGATTACGTGAAGAGAACCCTCCGAAATCTGAGTGGTCGCAGAGTCACTTTCCTTTGTGGAGATGCTGGGCCCCTCGCCGTGGGAGCTGTGATATATCATAAACTCAAGAGTGAATGTGAGTCCCAGGAATGCATCACCAAGTGAGTTTTCAAAATTGAAAATGTCTCCAAATGTTTTGTTGAAGAATTAATTATTGAGCAAAGATGTTCAACCATTAACCATTTTCTAATGTGCAATTGTGAGCAGGTCTGTCTGAAAAGTGAAGCATGTTAGTCAGAGTGGTGGGATCATGAGTTGTTTTTCTTTGCATGCATGAGTGTGCCTTAATTTCAGGGGGACTTTAATAACCATCCTAAACAATGTTTGAGTGCCTTCAGTGCGTGAAAGAGAGCTCACATCCATGAAGGTAGTTTGAGAATGACTAATCTTGAGTTCAGTCTTTAGCTCTTGGTTACAGTGACGAGGGAATGATGATGGACTGTGAAGGTTATTGCAGTGGTCAGTTTAGATTCTTCCTGAACAAGGAGAAAGCAAGGTCTCTTCCTTGGATCTGGTAGAGGATCTGGCCCGTGACAACATTTGATGTTGTTGAAAGATGGAGTTACTTAGTCTTGCCTGAGCAGTAGCTCTCTCTCAGCTCCATCTTACTTAGACTTTACCTCCCTTTCTTCTAATACTAGATTTTAAGTGTGAACTCTATTTTTACTGTATGATTTAGTGACACAGAGGTGGACGTTTGGAATCTTTTTCAGAGCTGGAGATTGAATCCAGGACCTCAAATACTTTTAACACTGACCTACATCTCTAACCTATATATTTTTGTTTTTAATTTTGTTACTTGAAACAGTAGTTAACAGAGAGGTTTGATTGTTTTATGATCTTGGGGTTATTTTTCTGTCATTGAGAGATTTTTAGACATTTTCTGGGATAATTCTTTGTCTTGTTGGTTAGACTTCTACAGATGCATAGAACGATTGTCTGTCAAGAGTCAGAGCTTCCTGATGAGCTGTTGTTTGGACGGGCAGGTTACCTGTATGCCTTACTGTACCTGAACACGGAGATTGGCCCCGGCACTGTTGGTGAGACAGCTATTAAAGAGGTATTGTGGGCCTACTGGACCTACCGATCTTCAAAGCTAGCTGATAACATACAGTTATGTTAATTCCCGGCCTCTGCTTCTAGGTGGGATTAGTTTTTTTAAAGAGTATCTCATAAACTTCTTTTTTTTTGTTTTTAGAAATAGCTACTTTTCTTCTCAAACATTCAAAATCAGCGATCTATATTGATTAGGTTGTGTTTCATTGGAACCCTATAGTTCAGCTTAAAAGGTTGGAGGGAGGTGATGATAATTAAATATCTCTATGCTTCATTCTGGTCTGCTGTCCTCTGCGTATACCCAACCACATGACCAAATGCAGTTGGCACACTTAGCTTGCTTGGATAGGGAAAAGAAACAGCTTCCATCTACAAGATGCCATCATGTCTGCTCAGGTCTCATTCCCATAACTTAGATGACTGACTAGGAGGCTGGGTACCCATCTAAAACTTGCAACACTTTACTAAAGTGAGTCTTTGCCACAAGTCATTCCAGACACTGGACCATAACACAGAAGCCCACAGTTGCTTAGCCTCCACTTCATCAGTGAAGCTAGTGTGTGTACTCTGTCTTGGAGATGTACTTGCTGCCTTTTAGAGAAAGCCTGACAGCCATGAAGCAAGTAAGAACTTGGAAACGTTTTTAATAGGAAGGCTCTATAGGATTTAGCAAATTTTTATGCTGAGAACTTCAATTTCATAGGTAGACTTCTTAATATGTTTTTCTCCTCAAGAATTACTTCCTGATTTCTCTCTGACTGAATTATTAAGTGAAATTGTTAAGATAATAATGGCTGCTTAATTTTTTGTAAGTAATTTCTCTGTGTTCTGTCACATGCCAATGTTAATCAGAGTAGATGAAGATGCTTGTAAATTGTTTTGATTTCTGATGTCTCCTTGTCTCTATAGGTGGTCACTGCTATTATTGAGTCAGGAAAGACTTTGTCAAGGGAAGAGAGGAAAACTGAGCGCTGTCCTCTCTTATATCAGTGGCACAGGAAGCAATATGTTGGAGCAGCCCATGGCATGGCTGGAATCTACTACATGTTAATGCAGGTAAATAACAATTCTCTGGGACAATAACTATAATGATCATATTATAATAGATTAGACCAATATGAATGGGGTATTATGTTCTTCATAGAGACCAAATGGGCTGAATTGACGGTTCCCACTTTGACTCACAGATAATTAAGTTGGCTTTACAGCAGTGAATTCCTAAAAGTATGTTCTGTGTATAGTAGGTACCAGAATAGCTGCTTGTCATCCACAGCTTCCTTCATTTCTTGTCCTGCTGAAGAGGTGGGGACTTGTTAATGGAGGTTATGGGCTTTAGATTCAGATACTTAGGCTGATTTTGTTCTTTAAAAGAAACATAAACTGAAAGCTTTATTTACTTGCTCTTAGGTGAAGTACATAGAAGCACTATCTAGTAACTGCTGTTTAGAAACACGTGCCAGCCTTTACAGACATCACAAAGTGTGTGATGGAGCTGGCTTGCTACCTTGTACAGAGGAGGCTACATGGGTTAAGAGCCAGAGGAGTCTGTCAGCAAGAAACCAACCAGTTTCTTCTGCAGAACCGTAGAACTGGGAACTTGGGCGCCATGTAACACAGAAGCTGCATCAGGCATATATCTGTGTTGAGATGAAGCAGCCTAGTGGAGGAAGGGGCTTCTTTACACTTCTCTAAGGAGCCTTTAGATCTGTGAGACTCCTCTTCTTCACACATCTCTAAGGAGCCTTTGAATACATTAGACTCTTCCTTCTAGTAATTTCTATCAGGAACAAAGGGAATTAGGACTACAAAAAAGAAATCATCTATTTTGATTAGAGAAGGCCAGGCTAAGAAGAGAGCAAAGGGAGATGAATTCCACATGGCACATGGGAGTACCATCTTGTATACTGACCTCAAGACACCTCCACCTCTCATAACAATGCCCAGGAAGAGACTAAAATCTCCTTTTGGAGACATTGATTTTTGTAATTTTTTGTTTTTGCTGTGACTCTGGGTGCTCACTCTGGACTCTCCTCGGTTCCTAAAGTCTTTGTGCTCTGTTGAAACACTCAGAGGAGACACACACAGAATGCAGTGTAGATCCATTATTTCAGAGATGAGAGCACACTCGAGTTGGAGAGTGATGACAGGCATAGGGAGCATCTTCATTTTAGGTAGGGTTTATACTATTTCTAAAGTCTCTGGGACAAGCAGCTTTCTTGGGGGCCTTTTGTCTTAGTCAACTGGTTAGTCCTTACAGGAGGGAACAAAGCTATAGCTTTGTTATGTATCAAAAAGTTTCCTGTTAAACTTTATAAGGTTTAGGACTCCAGAAACCAGGTCTATGTAGTTATGGATCAGTGAACTCAAGGACAGTTCAGGATGCCATGTCTGTTCTCAGGGCCAGTGGTTTGACTCAGATCCCATTCCTCTGACCAGTCACTAGAGTCCCGAGGTTCCTGTTCTTAGCTTTACAAGATGTTGATTATGAGGAAGAAGTCCAGCCTTGATGTCCTGATCCTGCCTATATTTAGCTGTGATAAAAATCCCTGCAAAAAGCAAGGACAAAGGACTTACTTGACTTCTGGCTGAAGAAGATACAGGCCACGGCAGTTGAAGAAAGCATAGTGCCGGGAATATGAGGCGTCAGCAGCCAGAGCTCAGGTCAGAAACAAAGCCTACCTCTCAACCACCCGCTTGCTTCAGTAGGACACCCCTCTTAAAGGCTCCAGGACTTCCTAAAACAGAGGGGGAGGGAGTTCTTCACATTCAAAACATGAAACATACATACCTCAGGTAGAAGATGTATAGACCACAGGCATTTCAAGTCCCCATTAAAAACATTGGCTAGGCATCTGAATGGTTATTTTGATGTTTATGTCTGCCTAAGCCATAGTGCCTAGACATTTGGTTAGATGTTATCCTGGATATTTCTCTGAGGTCGTTTTGAGATAAGATTTTGTTTAAATTGCTTTGCTTTGAGTAAAGCAACTTGTCCTTTATAATGTGGGTGAGCCCAGCTCATCAACTAAAGTTCCTAATACAGCAAAAGGCTGACTTCAAGCAAGCACAGGGTGTTCTCCAGCAGATTGACTGTGGACTTGGATAGCATTAGCTCTTCCTGGGGGCAGGGCAGACTGCCTTCAGCCTTGAACTACAGTGCATCCCTACCTCTGGAGCCTGGTGGCCACTGCAGTCACATGTTAAGCTTGTAGAAAATAATTCACCAACCAGTTCCTTAATGTCAAGCAGTAGTTGCATAGTTTAGTCTAGAAAGAGCATAATGAGTAGGAACGTAACCAAAAATGGTGATGAGAAAATGATCTGGGGCTGATTAGAACAGGGAATGTGACCTTATCTGCTGAGCCAAGGAAACACAGTAAAGTCTAAAATCAGTAGGTAAGGAAGTAACTGTGTATGTGTTATTTAAGGAATATCGAGGAAATCTCTAAAAAAGAAAAAGTCATTGTGTCTCAAGAAGGAATATGGTTGTTGTTTTGCATAATAAGTTTTTTAAACATTGTATGTATGTGTTTTATTTTATTTTTTAAGACAGCATCTCATATAGTAAGGCTTGCCTTGCCCTTCCCTGTGTAATCAATGATAGTCTTATAGCCTTGATCTTTCTGGTCCACTTCTGAGTGTTAGAATTAAAGGCATGCATATTTAAGAATTCAGCTATATAAAAATAACTTTCTAGGCATAATTTTGTATTTTGGAAATAAACTTCATGAACGATAGATGATTTATTTTTCAAGCCCCAATTCCTTTTGTTTCTAATAGGAATTACTGGAAGGAAGAGTCTAACAGAGATATGTGTTGGAAAAATATCTAACACATTCTCTAAGTGTATCTCAGGAAAAACACCTAAAGGTTTTTTAATATGTAAATAGTTTTAGATTTTGAAATAACCAGTGAGTTTTAGATGCAAGTACATTGCTTAAGTTGTCTTTTACTCCATGATTAACAAAATTTTTTGATAAGGAGATAAGATTTTATCTTATGTACTAGTTATAGTTGTAGTAGGATAATAACAATTTCTAAGCAATATTTCTCTTAATTATGAATAATGTTTATATCTCATTTGGAAGTTTGATCTAAGAATCAAATGAAGATTCAGTCCCTGGACAGAGACTAATTCTTTAGCCTAGACTGTATCAGTGATACGGACTGTGAGGACCTACTAAATGTGTCACACTTAAAAACATTTAATTAGCCTCATTTGCAATTTGTTGCCACCATTTTTTTTTTGATGAGAATTTGTATCTTGAAACCCTTTGAATGTTTTCTATTTCACTACTTTTATAAAACAAAACAAAAGATTCCCTCAAAATAGTAAATATTTTCCAACTGTTTGTAGTCCTAACTACTTAGTAAAACCATAATGCAAATATGATTCATGCCACGAGGTAATGAATGTTTTCAATAAGTAATAACGATTATTACACTAATTACTGAATGAAGGAGACAAGTATGTTCCTTTCAATAGGAGCTAATTATTTGACTACCTTATAAAGAAATTGAGGTTAAATAATTTGGCCAAAGAGAAAAAGTCAGTTGATAGATTTGGGAATTGCGTTGTACTAGGCCTCTAGGAGGAGGCAAGAGCCACATAGGAGCAAATGAAAAGTTAGTATTTAGGCATCATACACACACACAAATCTTTCATAGTCCAGGGTTCATCAGAGAGGCCCTCAGCTCTTCTCACTACTCTGTAGGATGGTTTGATTTCAAGTGTTGGTTGTGTTGGTCAGTTCATCAAAGAATAGAGTTCAACACATTGAAACACTAATACATTCAAGATTTCAAAGAACTGAAACAAACAAAAAAGCTACATCTGAAAAAAAAATCCACAAGATTGAATTCTAATTTTGTGTCTTCCTTAGTTTTATGGATAATTAATGCTTTATTGGATAAGCCATGTTACATAGTTTTTTTTTTTTAAAAAAAAAACACAGAAAAAATAAATTGTTTTCTCTTTTTTGTCTTTAAAGCCAGAAGCAAAAGTGGACCAAGAAACCTTAACAGAAATGGTGAAACCTAGTATTGATTATGTGCGCCACAAAAGATTCCGATCTGGAAATTACCCATCTTCCTTAAGCAATGAAACAGATCGATTGGTCCACTGGTGCCATGGTGCTCCTGGAGTCATCCACATGCTCTTACAGGCGTATCAGGTTAGTAATTCTGTATCCTCAGTGTCCAAGGGCAGTTTCCACTGTCAGGCTTTCAGGTCGCTTCTATAAAACCTGCTCAATTGTACACTGAAAACTAGTTTGAAATCTTGATCTCTGTGTTAGTGTGAGTACACAGGTGCCAGGTAATATGTATAAAGCTCAGAGGGCAATCTTGGATATAATCTCTATGCTTGTCTGAGCATGCATGTGCCAAGTCAGAGGACAACCTTTGGTGTTGGTCTTCGCTGTTCACTGGTATGCATGCTAGGCTGGCTGGCCCATGTGCTTCTGAGGGTTTTCTTTCCTTTGCTTCCTTTCTCCTGATAGGAGTGCTGAGATTACAAGTGTGCATTGTCACAGCCACCTTCACGTGGGTTCTGGGGATCTGAACTCAAGGCCTCATGCTTATGCCAGTGCTTTAACTGCTGAACCATCTTCCCCGCCTCAGTTTCTCCTTTTTAATTTAATTATGTATGTATTGTGTACATTGTGTGCTCATGTATGCTTAGGTATATACGTGTGTCCATGTATTTATTTAAGGGCCAGTGGTTAGCCTTGGATATGGTTCCTCCAGTACCATTCATCTTGTTTTCTTCTGGATTTCCTGCTGCCCTAGAACTCACTGAGTAGGCTAGACTGACTGGCCAGTGGGCTCCAGAGATCAGCGTTTCTCCACCTCCCCAGTACCAGGGTTACAAGCCAACAAATCTACACACACACACACACACACAATTTTTGAGATTATAAAATAATGATATTATTTTTCCCCTTCCTCCCTCTAGTACCTCCTGTGTATCCCCCATCTTTCTTTCTTTCAAATTCATGGCATCTTTTTCCTTAATTGTATGTATTAATACATATATAATATATATATATATATATATATATATATATACATACATACATTCATACATACATTGTGTTCACTCTATATGACATTACCATATGGATAACCAACTTCTGTGCTCTTCCCTGAGGATGACTATTTCTCTCACTCTCAGCATTACTTAGTTTAAAATCTGGAATAAGGCTGGGCAGGGAGGTGAACTCCCTTTATCCTAGGACATAGGAAGCAGAGGCCAGCAGATCTCTGTGAGTTCAAGGCTAGCCTGGTCTACATAGTAAATTCTAGGTCAGCCAGGGCTACATAGAGAGATCCTGTCTCCAAATAAAATAAATAAAATCAGGACTGAGACAGGGCTGTTCACTAGCCCCACTTATTTTCAATATAGTTTTTGAATCACTAGTTAAAGCAGCAAGAAAAAGAAAGTAAAGGGATAGAAAGTAAAAGTCAGAAAAGAAGTCAAACTAACCCTCATTGCAGATGACATGGTCTTATAAATAAGAGATCCCAAAGATTCTACTAGAAAACTTTTAGAAATGATTAACACTTTCAGCAAAGTGACAGGATACAAAATCAACTTGCAAAACTTAGCAGCCTTTCTATACACTAACAACAGACACATGGAGAAAGAGATGATGGAAGTGATGCCATTCATGATAGAAAAAAAAAAAAAGACAAGGGAAAGTAGTAAGTAATGAACCTAACTAAGGAGGTAAAAGACCCCTATAGTGAAAACTTTAAATGTCTGAATAAAGAGATTGAGGAAGACATTAGAAGATGGAAAGATCTCTTATACTCACAGATTGATAGAATAATCATTGTGAAAATAACCATCCTACCAAAACCAATGTACTAGGATGGATGGATGGATGGATGGATGGATGGATGGATGGATGGATGGACGGAGCACTGTACTAGGTTGTATATAGATGGTCTAGTGTATATTTCAGGTCCTCTTGCCCTCTCAAGACCTTCACACAGGGACTCCCTGCCACATGTGCTTAGCCTAGGTGGCTCTCTGAAATTGTTAAGGAAGATGCAGCAACTTTTTAATAAGCCTTGTCTGTAACATTGTTTCCTCATGCTCTTTTTGTCTTTAAACAACATTTGTGTTTCTTTGTATCCCACTACTCTTGTTCACTATAGAGCTGCATAATAGTCTTTAATAATGATCATACCACAGATTCAAATTATGCTGGCTTCAAATTGGCTCTGCCAAAGAAATTAGTCTGTTACTTACAGATTCAGCCTAAGGTAAGTTATTAGCTAAGAGCAGAAAGCAGCCAGCTTCTTTACCAATATCGTATGAATGGCCAATTAACTAGGAAACAAACCAGTATGTCTGTATGTATTTCCTAGTGTATACATAGAGATGAATAGATAGATAGATAGATAGATAGATAGATAGATAGATAGATAGATAGGACAAATAGGTGATACTGTATATACTAGTATATTTAAAGTTCTTGCTTCCCTCTTGAGACCTCTTAGCCCTACTGCTACAGTTGACTTTTCTCTCCATAGTCTTTCAGATCCTGGAAGGGTAGCCCATTAAGCCCTGCCTACAGATTGAATCACTTTCCCAGTCCAAGGTCCTAAAGATTTCACCATTCCTTGGGGAAAAAAAACAAAACAAAACATTACAGTCAGGTTCTTTACAGCAATACCTGCACAATTCTGGTACCAGTTTCTTCTGTTAGTTTACTTTCCTATTACTGTATAAAATCCTGTGACCAAGGCAACTTATAGAAGGGATGGCTTGTTTGGCTTACATTTCATCATGGCAAGGGAGCATGGCAGCAAGCAGCAATCATGGTGGTTGGAGCAGAGAACACCATGAAGTGGTGGTGGAAAGACTTTCCGAGCCAGAGGACCAGGAAATCTGCTCTGCTGCAAGGTAATTTCTTGTATGTATGATAGGGAAGCTACAACTATGAAATCGAAACAATATGGATTCCTAAACAAGACCTGATAAATGACAACACTAATTGACATACGACTGTGAATGGTGAATCTCACAAGGCCCTATCATTAATGACGGAAATCCAGTCTTCTCCAGGGACAAACCTCCAGATAGGTGATCCAATCCAAAGCAGTCAGCCCTAAGCATTCACATATGAGCAACACTAAATGATATGTGTGTATGTATGTATATATATGTGTGTAACACTTATATTGTATGTATGTATGTATGTATTTTGAAAGGGGGTTTTTCTTTGTAGCCCTGGCTGTCCTGAAACTCACTCTGTAGACCAAGCTGGCCTTGAACTCAGAGATCCACTGGCCTTTGCCTCCCAAGTGCTAAGATTAAAGGCCTGCACCGCCACCTCCCAGCTGTAACAATAATAATTAATGATTGAGAGGCCATGAATTTGAGAAGGCAACGTGGCCATGGAAGGAGTGAGGTGGGGAGAAAAGGAAGAAATTACGTAATTACAGTACACACGTGAAGTTCTCAAAGATGTTTTAAAATTGACATTTAAAAAGCCAGCTGGTGTTCTGATGGGAAGCCTTTTAAAAGCAACTTGATCTTTCTTACAGCTTTCAACGTCCTCTATTCTATAAATTTAATGTTTTGACTGTTATATGACAAGAAGACTTGTCTGGTCCTGTCTATTTGCTGTTTTGTGAGCCTTTTCAACCTTAATAGGAATCCCTTTCTTTAGATGAGGCAAGTTTTCTTATATAATTTTGTAGAAAATATTTTCTTTGCCTTTGGCCTGGATTTCTTGCCCTTCTATACCTATTATTTGTAGGTTCAGTTTTTGTTGTTGTTGTTTTTAAATAGTGTTCTAGTTACTTCCTGTTCTGTTCATGGTTTCTTTCTTCTATTGGACCTGAGATTTTCTTTGACTCAGTGATCAAACTCCTCTCCTTTGTCATCAAAGCCTGATACTCTGTTTTCAACCTGATCCAATCAGGGGATGAGGCTCTCCTCTGAGTTATTTCATTTTGGCTTTCTTCTGAGATTCTCATTAAGTTTTATTTTCATATCTTGTATTGTTTTTTTATTCCACTCAAGTTTTCAGTTTTCATTCTGGTATTTGTTCATATCTTCTTGGAGTTCCTTGTTCATATGTATTGTGCTGTTTTAAATCATTGTTTTGTGTAGCATCTGAGTTGCTTTTGTTCAGGGAACATCACTATGGGAGTGCTGCTTTTTTAATGCTAATCTATCCTCTTGGTTCTTTCTGTGGCTTGTGCTTTTGCAATGGGACCTAGACATCTGAAATTACTTGGTTGGTAGTGTTTCTTGGCATGGAAATCATGTCTCTCCACTGTTGACTTGATGTTTGGATTTCTGTTTCCAGTGACCTCAAGTTATCAGATTGTCCTCAGATGAATGGGGTTTAGGGTTCAGTCTTGGAACAATTTAATGTTGATGCTCAAATGGGGTAATGGAAGTAGGCAGGTCTCAGCGCAGGCTGGTGAAGTTCCTAAGCCCAGGAGAAGACCTTCTATTTAAAAACCTTTTGACTGTAGTTAAAAATCCTCAGGAGTCTGGGGGAGGTGCTCAGGACTTGTGGAGAGGAGAGGCCCAGCTTAAAGGTTAGTTGCTATATAGGCACAGGGGGCCAGACAGGGCTAAATCTGGTGGATTAAGGAGGGTGTTGGGGGTGGGGAGCTCATTGAGCTAGACCCTGGAGGAGAAGGATGAGCTGGATCTGGCTGGGCAAATAGATTCTTATGTCTGTTCAACCAAAATGCCTCTTCAGTTTTCAAAATGTTGTATATTTTTCTAAGCAGTGGGGAAGTTTTTTTTTTTTTTTAATTCTTCATTGAAAGCATATGCTAACACTATTTTATTTTCTCACTCTCCAGGTTTTTAAGGAGGAAAAATACTTGAAAGAGGCCATGGAGTGCAGTGATGTGATTTGGCATCGAGGTCTGCTCCGGAAAGGCTATGGAATCTGCCATGGCACCGCTGGAAATGGTTATTCCTTTTTGTCCCTTTACCACCTTACACAAGATAAGAAGTACCTCTATCGAGCCTGTAAGGTGAGGACACCTCTATCCCCACAGCTCCAGACCTTCCCAGGACAGACTCCAAAAGCACTCCTCTTCCTCTTTGAGCCCAGTCTGCCCAATCTGTGGCTGAGTCTGTTTCTTCTGGCATGGTCTTGTTCTTGGCCCTCTGTCCCTGTCGGTGAGCTGAGGGCAGCAAACATAAAGGTTATTCCGAAGAACGCAAGTTTGGGGACCATACTACCTGGTCAGAATTACTGTACTGATATAAGTATTATTTATGTGTTGTTTGTTTTCTGAAGAGTCTGAACTAGCACAGATGGACCTTGGTTTTGCTCTTGCCAAGGATGACCAAGAACTCTGATCTCCCCCCTCCCCCCAAGTTCAAGGGTTACAGATCTTTGACATCATACCCAGCTTATATAGGAGCTTTATTGTCTTAAAGTACATTTATTCTTCAAGCCTCTGTTCTGTATTTGAAAAAAATGGGAGAAAACGACTACCTATCTAGGAAGGATGTTTCAGGAATTGAGATAACATGCAGACTGTCTACAATTGTGCCTAGTTAAATCCTTCATGAGTTTCCCATTCACCTGCATGTCCAACCTACACTCCTCTCCCGAGTTTCTGTAGTCCTGCATGCCCTGACCCTTGCCTGTTTCTCTGCCTTGTCTCATCTTATGCCTCTCTCAGACATACTACCTCACTGTACTCATACCTCACTTATTCCTCTCAAAAGAATGGAGTCGAAACTGTTATTACCCATTTCCTTCCCTGAAAATGTACTATCCCCAGCAATTTACTGGGGAAATTGCCATTCCAGGGTTAGTTTAACTATGACATTCTTCAGGATCTTTAAGACAGCCACATGGAAGAATCATCCAGATATTCGTTGAGTGTATTGCTTATTGCTTGGCTCCAACTGGTGAACTCTAAGTTCCATGATTGTCTAGGTTACTCTTCTATGTACATCAGTAGCACATGCCCCCAAATAGAAACAATTAAATATGCCTTGAGTATATTTTCATGAATGGTAGGAATTGAGATTTGCTAAATGCTTGCCTGTATTTTTCTTACTATGCTTGTTTCTCATGGTGTAATTATGTGCACACCTCTGGAAGCCACTGAGCCACTCTTGAGCCCCCTCTTCAGTTCTTATGAATTTGTTAAAGGGTCCCATTCATTGCCTCTTAAGAAATTCTGTTCTTAAAAAGAGTTGTCTTTTTTTTTTAGTTTGCAGAGTGGTGTCTTGATTATGGAGCACATGGGTGTCGCATTCCTGACAGACCTTATTCCCTCTTTGAAGGTAGGAGAGTATGAAAAATAAAACCGTACATTTGAAAACTATGGCTAGTGAAATTGGGCTAGTCCTCTGTTCTGAGGACTAGCATTAGTACATTTGATGTTGCTTGAATAACACTTCAGAACTAATGATAGCAAGCCCCATTTATCTTGCCTACATTTGCTTCTGCTAATGTCTCCAAAAATTTTAGAACTTCTGTGATGTATATATGCAGATAAAGCCTGGAAGGCTTAATGGATGGGGGAAGATAATAAGTTTCCTCTTCTGCATTTTGTCTATAATATTATATACACACACACATATATATTCTGTATATTCACAGAAAGCTTAGTTATTTAAATACACTTAGTTCTTTAAATTATATAAAGAATTACTAGTAACTAATATTAATTGAAAGTAGTAATTGGGTACTAATAATTAGAAAAATAAGAGTGAATATTGAAGACAGTTCAATATTTTTATGGATGGTTATAACAAGGCTCTCCATAAAAACAACAATAATTAAGTCGTCCCAGGTTGAACAATACATAAGAATGTAATATAATTAATATTGTAATTATAATTGAAGCCTTAGAGAGACAGCGATTCTTTTTTGCTTGTTTGTTTATTTGAGGTTTTTCATACAGGGTCTCTCTCTTTCTCTATGTAGTCCAGAATATCCTGAAACTTGCTGTGTAGACCAGGCTTACCTTAAACTCACAGACATCTGTCTGCCTCTGCCTCTCAAGTGCTAGGATTAAAGGCGGATTAAAGTGGATCACCACCACACTTACCTCCCAGATATTGTGTGTGTGTGTGTGTGGCATGCACACATGCATGTTTTAATTAAATTAAAACCACAGTGCAAAGACTTCATAGCATTAGGATAAATTGATAATAACTTTAAACCACAATTTTTTTTTTTTTTTTTTTTTT